TTTATATTTTGAAGGTGCAAAAAAAAATTTTTTCTACAATTTTAAAAAAAAAAAAAAAAAAAAAAAAAAAAGGTAGACCGGCTGCAGCTGTTAGCCTGTCGCAGTAGTTCTGCTTTGGTTATGCGTCTCTGTTGGCAGAGGGACTGGCGATGAATCAAGGGTGTACCCTGCCTATCCCTTACTGAACCTATGAGATGGAGACCAGCCCAGCCTAATGGTGAGTTCACACCAAACACGTTTTGAGGGTCAGGTGCATCTGGTTTACATTCAAAGTCTATGTGGAGGCGCATTGAGGGCTGTTGTGGCACCTTTCAAGCGTCTAGCGCAGGGCAATTTGAACCATTTGGAGGGCATCCAACTTGTCTGACGCTCCACATAGACTTTGAATATAAGCCAGACGCGCCCAATGCTCAAAACGCGTTTGGTGTAAACGCACCAAAAGTGAACACGTGTCGACCTTGAAGCGTCAGATGCATTTTTGACGCACATGGTGCGTTTGGTGTTAACGCATCACAATAGAGTGTCAGAACAGCTGTTGTGACAGAAATATCCAGTCCCAAGGCCATGTTATCACAGTTTGGTGGAATATTACCGAGAAAAAGTGCTGCCATGCTTCAGAATCACCTTATTGCACATTAGTTTCACAGAAACACTCATTTGTTGATTGTGTAATACAGAAAGTCATGAAAGACTACATTAGATTTGTTTGGAAGAAAAACATTTAACCAGGGACTTTTTGCTGCTTTTACACTCACAACTAAACTTCTTTACAGGAAATGCTCATTTACAGCTAAAACCAGAAGGTCACATATTCCAAATAAAGACATCCTTAGATTTGACCAAACTGCTATTGTTTGTGATCAGAATGACTAAAATAATATCCATTTGTAAAATGCCACAATAATGAAAAACAAGAAAACAGAATTGCAGGAAACTATTGAGAGAAGCTTGTGGAAGGAAACTCAAAATGTCTGACCCAAGTCACACAGTGCTAAGGCTTTAGATTTTGACATTAATATATAAATTTGATATTCTCTCATTATTGTGACAATTGGCAAACAAAAATTATTTTGGTCATTTAACTTAAGTTAAATCAGAACAAACTATTCTTGATATAGGTTGGACAGTGAGATAAAAAAACTGTTTTATTCTTTGGATGTAAACTTCTGGTTTCAGCTGTAGCTTATTTTAACAACATCGTGGCTCTTCTGCTTGGCAATCAAGGCGAACAGAAAGCTCTCTAGAGCTACGCTAGCATTAGCTTCTTTCTCAAATAGACTTTAGTGGGGTAGTGTAAACCCGTTTTACTAAACCAAAAGTGAGTTAACACTATCTGTTCATTTAGCCCCTAATGCTTCCTTATCCCCCCGATCATTTGGCTTGCAAAGATGTTTACACACATCTCACCTTCCAGAGAGAAAGTCGTTTTTGAGAACAACTGGTCAGGCGTACATGTAAAGACTGGAGGAAACAGTCCAGCGTAAAGCAAAAACCAGTCAGTTTTCTTGTAATTTATCTTAAAAATAATCATAGCTCAAGTCTTTTAGGGAGAATCGTGACGATCCAGCAATAAAGTTCCTGCAGGTTTTGTTTTATCTTGTGCTTACTGCATTTCCACACAAAGCAATATTAACTCTTTATGGAAGCAAAATATTTAAAATGGCCAAAATGGTTAGAATTTAGACTCCGTCATGCAAACTAAGACAGAAAGAAAGCATGCAAGCTATACACAAATAATAATAAAAAATACACAAAAAAAACTGTCATTTAACCATTTCAGATTTTTGGACTACAAACTAGGGCTGTGCCGAACAATTTAGTAATAAATTATTCTGATTAAATTTTTTTCATTTAACCAATTAAAAATATTTTTAATTTTTTTTATTGAATATTAGAAATACAATCAAATTAAAAGTTCAATTTTAAATAGGAAAACAATTTTATTGTCCAAAATACAATAATATAGGATTTTTTTTATTTTAGTAAATTTGAACCAGATGAAAATACTTACAAACATCTTAAACACAAAATATGGTTTGTACAATTTTGGCTTCATTACCATTTCTTTGTTCTTTCAGCAAATTACATTTTTGAGTCTGTATGCTCCAATTAATTAATCTATTACTAAATTTGTTGACGATTAATCAATTACTAAGTTAGTTGATTAATGAGATTAATCATGATGAATTGATAATTGAAATACTCATTTTAGCCCTACTACAGAATTTTTTTAAATGTCGTTATGAACATGACCATGGGAACTTCAACACATTTCAGACTGAAAGAAAAACTGCAAATATTTCAATATTGTTGGAAGAAAAGGCATTATTGGAAAACCTTCAGAATAGTGAAACTGAAGGAAGTCTACCAATAGCAACCTAATCTTTCAAATTAGTTAAACTAAAACTGGGCTACATTTAATACACAGTAATCTTAAATACACATACTGCTCTCTAATTTAATAATAATATTTAAAAAAGACTAAATAGAGAGTTAGACCAATTAAAATGTACCAGTGGGTTCACCATCTTCTGACCCACTGCCTGAATACTTCCTGCCTGTGTATTATGTTGCACTCTCAGATTCCTAGCAACAACTGTGCACTGCTTTCTCTCCATTCTCCTCTTCGTGCCTCATCCAGCCCATCTTTCTGCATGGCACTTCTCCCCTTGATTTTCACTCAAATATGACAGGAAAAATATGTACAAAAGGGTTTAATCGGTATCAGATTACCGACAGAGACAAGCACAAACAAGCTCTCTTCTGGTGACTCATTTTCCTGTCTTTTCCTCCTGGATAATTGCGCTTTCCTGTCGAGTGCATCCCACACAGACACAAGGACTTCAGGGAAATGAGTGGGAGAGGAGGCTGGCTTGTTAATAAAAGCAAGGCTGTTGGATTACCAACATGAGATAGTTGACATCAAAACACCAAGCATGGCTAAGCTAGAAATTAAAAACACATTAAAAACAAAACAAAACAAAAAAAAAGTGAAAAATATGAGCTTTTTCTCAAAGTGCAAATATACTTTTAAATTTCACATTTCATTACTCTTGGAGTTTAAAATATTTATTTATTAGGAAATTCTGCAATGAACACAGTACAGGTGTTTGTCACTGCTCTCCTTGTCCATTTTTGTGTTTATTTCAGAAAAAATGGTCAAGTGCACAGTAAAAAAATAGGCAAAAATGTTTCTTATTCTAATTTAAAAAGGGAATTTAATTGTTTATTTGCATATTTTGATATATTTCTAATATTGTGTAAAGGAGGCTTAAGTGGTTAAATGAAAAATCTGGAGAATATGCCATTTTTTTGTTTCCAATTAAATGTCAAAATAATCGATGCTAAAATAATTGCTAGTTGCATCCCTAATTGGTCCCCATTATTTAAAAGTGCATAGAAAAAACACCACATGTAATCATCTCTGTAGTCAAAGAAATAATCATAAAACAAACAAAATTGTTGTTCCTATGTTTCCTAAAACAGTATTGTTAAGTATTTCACATCAAATGCTCTGATGGATAAAAGATGGAAAATTAATCTTCTGATTGTCCTTAGTTATAATAATCACAACAACAATTTTATGGTTTAATCAAAAAGTCATAACTGGCACCATGACTAATACAAACCAAGTATTTCATGCTCTACAACTCTGGAGGAGCGCTGTAGAGCAGTAGAATGAATGAATCATCAGCATATTAAGTGATTATCAAGACCGTCATCGACCAGAACAACCAGTCACACTCATTTAGAGTGACGGAAAAATCAGATAGATGCAAACTGAAAAGAAAAGGTGACTATATTTAATTACCTTTTAAATGATAAATGGCCTGCATTTGTATAACGCTCTCCAGTTCAGTCTTTTGTCCCAACCCCCACCCCAAACAAATAATAATAATAATAATAATAAAAAACTCCATGGGATCTGGCAGAATACCATAATTTAAAAAAATGAATAATAGTAACAAGAATAAAAAAAAATGCTAATATTTGGTCCAAGCACCATGCTTTAGAGGAATCTTCCCAACAAGAATCTTCCCACTCCTTCAGGTCAAATAGTCACACCATTGTTGAAACCAGCATCACCAAATCTTCTTCTAAGAATTTATAATTCTTTAAACAATTACAAATTCTGCAGAAATATTAGTCAATTACATGACTAATTACATGACTAATAATTTATTATTTACAGTTCAACCTTCCTGGACAGGTTTTCTGCTTCAGCTGCTTGTTAAGCAGGATTTTAAGCTCTAAAAGGAAACTAAACAAGTCAAATAATCAATCCTTACAATTATTTCCATTGATAACCATTGATGGTGTAAAAATCAACAACAACAAAAATCCCCTCATTGTTTGTCTTTTATGCCACAGGTTAAACAAAAACAGGTGATAATAAAATCACCTGTTTGTGGTCGTTTTATAGACGTGTCACCAAAAAATCACTTCATGCTACGATCAGTTTGAATGCAGACAGGAGCTTCAGAGAGACCAGGCATCACACCTGTGTGTGTGCAGGGTGCGGGGCACCGGGGAACAATGGCAGGTTGAAGACTTGTTTGTCTTTGAGCATCACTGAGCAAACACCTGAGCTTCCCTTTTATCAGTAAATAATTCCCTCCTGGTATTAATGTTCAGATTTAAATTAACTTTAGAAGACACCTGTTCTGTCAAAGAGATGCATTAACATACACAGTGAGTGATCTTACCAGGGCAGGTGAGTGTGCCTCTTCAGCTGGCGTTGTCTTGACGTTTAGTCTCAGCTGTCTTACCCCATGCTTATCTCCGCCCTCTGGGAGCAAGAGCCAATGGGGGAAAAAGGGTAGGGAGGTTGGGAAGGACCGGACGATGGGGACTAAACCTAAAAACAAAAACGCAAACAAAATAAAATTAGTTTTGAAAACTACCTTATTTTGCATTTATTCTATTCATATATGCTTTAGCAAAGTCTCCGGACAGAATTAAAATACGATATGGTTTATCAGCGTTAGTCTTTAGAGTGACGGTGTTCAAAATGGAGTCCGAGGTCCTTTTGTGGCCCCTGGCCTGATTTTGTGTGGCTCCCCAAACCACAATTCAAGATTGAATTAAATAAATTAGGACAAATCTACAACTTTTTAGATTAAACTCTACTTACAAAAATGTTATATGCAACACAAGGTGGTAATCTTTTCCAAGCTTTCTCGTTTCCTTCGACTGACATAGTAATTAGTGACACTTCTAATAATCGACTTAAAATTTAAAGACCACCTTGGCAGAACCGAACCTGGTTTTAACTGCTGTATTAATATTTGGCTAAATGTTTTCAAATGAAGGCAAATGAAGTACTTTTGACCCATGTGACATTTTTTTTTTTTACTTCTGTCACATAATTAAGTACTTCTTTAATGAAACTATAAGTCAATGATTGCATTTTAAGTTCAGCCTTAATGTATGTTAGTATAGAATTTGTAAGCGGGCCTTAGGCTAATACATTTTGCTGGACGATAAATTGTCCCAGAAGTTATTGCGATAAAAAAATGTTTTGAAACTTTTTTCAATGATGGTATAATAATGCAAGTACACCCTCTCAAAGATCAATAAACTATCATTTCTCAGGAACATGTAACACTGGAACTGGAAGACATTTTTAAATATCTAAAATAAACAAACAAAACAACCAGATCAAGAAATAAATTAATTATGAAGTCTGTAAAGAAAATTGTCCTTGAGAAAGGGGCTAATTAGGATCAATCCACCAGTCTGAAGACGTGGTGGTAGAGAGAGAGAGAGAGAAGCACAAACAAAACAATCATGCAAATGGAAATTATCGAACTTGTTTTGATTTGTCATAGATTAATTTATTCATTGATTTATTGCTTACTGTGACAGGCTTAGCAGGCATTGGCCATTTTTTGTCCATCCCAATCTGGAGGGCGCATTAGATAGCCATTGATCATTTCCATTTAACATAATCAGCTTTACCCAGGATGTTCTCTCTGGGTGGAGACGCTGTTCTAATCTTCCATCTTAATTGTTGAAAATCAGATTTCTTGTATGCAAAATTAAATCAATATACTGCAGATGTCTCTCCGTATGTGGGTAAACATCCCGACGGCTCGCCAGCACATACAGGCAGCAGGAAGATGAAAACCTATCAAAATCTTACATTACGCAGCAGATCCATAATCTGAAACAGACACGACTTGTAATGTTGTACAACGTGTTATTGGAGTGAAAAGATTGATTGCTGCATTTAATAGAAACTGTCTCAGGTGCTCTTCTCAAAACAGAGAGCAGACTTCTCAGGTCTAATAAACATTCCCATTCATTTTCAACTGTTCATAGAGTCGTATTTTTTCACTGAAGGGTAGAGCTGCTTCTGAGTTTCACTTCTTTAGACATGTTAATACATGCAGATCTGCAGTGATTTTAGTATATTTATGCTAACAATTTGGGATCTTTAGATCAAACTTTGACATTTTCTCTAAAGCATGTCCACAGTACAAACCCCAAACACCGAGATGCAGCTATGAATACAATGAAGTTCACTTAACGCTTATTCACACTAAATTTAGTCTATGCACTTTACGAAAAAGGTAAATTTAATCTAATAGTGAATATAGCTGCATACTTAATTACATACAGTTCAATTTAGTCTAGGTTCTCATATTTGTGATAAAAAAAGGTATTTTAAGTAGGTAGGTAATCCGTGATTCATTCTCTCCTTCCATTTTCTATTGTTAACCACAAAAAAAAGAAAGAAAAAAAAAGAATTATTTCTTTTTTAATCTGATACAAAAAAAAATATTTTCAATTTGTTAAAAGTATGAAATGGAAAAATGAACAGCAGGACCGACTTTGATTCAAACATTTCATTGCTCAGGTTTACATGACCGGGCTTTACTTGCTCTACGGGCGGGCTGGTCTCAAACGCTATTAATCTGAAATTAGATTCCTCCTCATGCACCTTTGAATTTTTGTAGCTTAACCAAAGTTAAGTTGCAAAACTTAATTTTGCAACAGCCAACCATGTGCCCTAGTTTTCAGGGGAAACACACTGCATGTTCTTGGTGTGCAATATTTCATGTCAACAGCAGGTGGTACATATGTTTGCCCTCACTAGAGAATGTTATTTGAGATCTCAGTTTGTCATGTTTTTTGGTTATCGTGGGTCCTTGTCAGCATCACAGCAAAAAAAGCATCTTTAAAAAACCGAGGTGAAGGAAACAAACAGAAAAACTAAAGCAAACAAGCTCATACTGCCAACCGTTGTATGAAGGTTGCAGATAAAGCAGCACTAGTTCTGAGGCCTGAACACTTCGCTGGAACAAGTTCAGCTTTTGCAGAGTGAAGATAAAGCACGCCTAACTAGCCACAGGAACTAAACAGTCATGCAACTTCAACTGCACTGAAATTTTTGAGAAATTATTGACTGTGAGGGCAAACGGTTCAAATTGTTAACATTTTTTGGTTTAATATTCAACTCTGCCTCTGCAGATCTTCTCCATATCCAACAAGCTCCAACTGGGAATAGGCATCAAAGCTCTGGTTTGTAGTTAACTTTGTGTTTCTCCCATGTGCTGTGTGCCATTGTCTCCAGGTACCCGACAGCAGAGATTAGTAGCTGGATCTCTATTCAAATTTCTTTTGAAAAATTTCTTTCAAGCTATTAGCAAATAAGCAAAATCAAGTGGAAGTGTGCAACACAAGCAACTAATAGTTGTTTTCATTTGACAAGAAAAAGACTGCAAAAATGGAAAGTAAGTTAACTTTAAACATTGAAAACCATGCAGTTTTTTGGTCACTCATCCATCACTGATCTTTAAAAAGCTTGACCTGCCGATACTAACTTTAGCCCATACCAATTTTTTGTCTGAAATGTCGCTAAATGTAGCATGAAAGTCGCTAAGTTGACTATTGTTAACTGCAAACGTGCAGCCATCACCTGGCCTGTCAGTCAAATGTCTCTCACAGGAGAGCAGATTGGTTGATTTTTAGACCTTTGCCGAGGTAAATGAGATCGGAGGATAAAAATCGGCTTCACATGCAAGGATCAGTCGATCACCAATCACCCAAAATGATCACCAATCACCCAAAACCGTCAATGTCGATTAAAAAGAAGTCTAAACTTTTTTTAAAACTAGCAGGGTTTCCCCCAGAAAACCTGCTAAGCCCGATGGTCGGGGCGTCGAGGCGGTCCACTGTGTTTTGTATTAAGATGTTAAGTTGACAGGAAATGTAAAAATATTACGGTTTAATTATATGTTACAGGAAAAGATCTACAGTGAAATGCTATTTAAACCCACAACTAGTCTAAAAACAATAAATTTGCACTTCTGTTTTATCCAAATTAAGTCAGCGGCTCCATCAGGCCCCCAAGAGCTTCAGGGGCTCCATAAATGCTAATATTTTAAAACAGACCACAGATACATAAATGTAACACTTGTTTATTGAGATGGTCAATGCTGTTAAATTTTATTCAATTGTTTAGGCATACATAAATTCAATAAGTTTAAATTGTTTAACATTTAAATACAAGATTTTAAGGAGCTGGCAAGTTTACTTTGTAAAACTTCAAAGAACATTATTCATGTTTTGTTACCATAGCAACAATCTGATGCTGTGAGTTTAATCTATGAATTTACAAATACAAATTAGTAAACTGCGATTATAACTTATTGCTTTTTAGACTGGCCAATTAAACTACTCCCTTGTCCCATATTTCACTAAATCTAACACAGAAGCTGTTAGAGGTGCTGATATTTTTAGGAACAAAAGGGGCCCCTAAGTCAGATTCTGCTCCAGCCGTCATACAGCCTTGGACCGACCCTGCATGATGAGGTAATCCCC